AGTTCTTTATATATTTTGGAGATCAGACCTTTGTCAGTTGCGGGGTTGGTGAAGATTTTCTCCCAGTCAGTGGGTTGCCTTTCTGTCTTAGCGACAGTGTCCTTTGCTTTACAGAAGCTTCTCAGTCTCAGGAGGTCCTATTTATTCAATGAGGCCCTTAATGTTTGTGCTGCTGGGGTTCAAACTGCTTTTCACTGGCTGATACCACCCTGAGGAATGCTTGGGTATTGTTCTGTGTGCACTGTCTTTCTGTCTGCCTTATGCTCCTGCACTCCCTAGAGCAGAATTATGACTTAGTAGAATTAGATAGCCTCACTTTAACCCTGCTTTGACAGAATTTTAACCCCATAAGGAGCTAAATCTTTTTCTTTTACTATTTTTCTTTTTCATTTTTTTCACCTCCCCCACTTTTTCTATTTTTGGCATTGCTCAGGCTCTAACCCCAAGCTATTTTTGATTGTGTGTTTTGTTTTCAGACTGTCCAAGTAATTGTCCAGGCTCGACTTGGTGAAAAGATTTGCACCCGTTCATCTTCTTCCCCAACGGGTTCTGATTGGGTAAATTCCTATTCTTTGCTAATGGCTGTGTATACTGTGGTTTCTGTCAAAAGGAATGAATATAAAATGTCCTACTGCTGTGTAAGGCATACTGCCTATAGAGCTGCTAAATCAATTGACCCATTTCTAGAGAAAGTATGTACATTCTTTATAAAAAATTAGTCTCCTATTTATTTGGACCTTGACTTTCTGCTGTAACTTGACAAAACATAGTGCTTAAGAGATAAAATAATATGTTGGTAGGTAATCTGTGTAATAGGTAATTAACCTTTTTAGCCTAAGACTTTAGCTTTGGTACAAACTGCTTCCCATAGGAAAGGAAGAAGTGTCTTAGTGTTCCTTTTTTTTTTTTTAAATACTTTATTTTTATTTAATCAACATTTGTTTTGCTTGCATGCATATTTGTATGAAGGTGTCAGATCTTGGATTTACAGTCAGTTGTGAGCTGCCACGTGAGTGCTGGGAATTGAACCTGGGTCCTCTTTAAGAGCAGCCAGTGCTCTTAACTGCACAGCCCTCTCTCCAGCTCAGCTAAAAGCAGTACCTGCATGCACTACTCTGTGTTCCCATAATACTCCTTGAGAGGGTTTTACACAGAAATCTCTCCTGGTTTTTAGTTCAATTTAGCAATCAAAGACATCCCAGATGTTACCCATGAAGCAAAGAAGGCCCTGTCAGGGCAGCTGCCTGCGGTGGGACGCTCTATGTGTGTGGAGATCTCACTCAAGACTTCTGAGGTAAGGTCATGCTAGACTTGCTTTTATTAGTTGGCATGCAAGGCTCTTCATCCTCTGCTTCCAATTCATTTATAGCTTTATTCATGTTCCTTTTCTTTATGAATTTCTCATCATTTTTTGAAGGAATTGTGGATTTTTGGTGCAGGGGGTTTAAGATAGGTTTTTCTGGGTAGCCCTGGCTGTCATGGAACTCACTTTATAGACTAGACTGGCCTAAAACTGGCCTTAAGAGAGCCAGTGCTGGGTTTAAAGGTGTTTGGCACCACCGGCTGGCAGAATTGGGGATTTTTATTTATATTTTTTGCTATGCTGGGAGTTAAACCCAGGTGTTGCCCATGTTCATATGACACATTTAATCTTTCCCTGCCTACTTGTTCAGAATAATGTACAGAGGGACAGTTTGGCTAATGTTATCGACTAAAAGATTTTTAAATTAAGGTAATAATAACCTTTCCTAAATTGGTGATGTCACTTAAAAATAGCACCTGTAGAAAGGCTGTTCTGTCACTTAAAAAATGTCCGGCTTTCCAAGGGCAGTTGGAAAATATTATTAGAAGGTTTAGGGCTGGGGATGCAGACTGTAGGTAGCACAGCCTAGCCAGCGTACGAAGCCCTGAAAAGTTCTAAATACGTATTCTTGTCAGGTATGGCAGCACAGTTCCCCAGTACTAGCCCTCCAGAATTGAGGCAGGAGGATTGGGAGGCCTTTGGCCAGTTTATCTTGCATAATGAGACTCCCTTGTTGCAGTTTTAATGTATGTAGAGCATGAGACTCTGTCTCAAAAAGCAAAGCCTAGGGTTGGTAGGATGGCCCAGCAGGTGAAGTGTTTGTCACCAAGTCTGATGAGAATCTTGTATAGTAGAAGAGACGAACTTCAGAAAGTTGTACCCTGACCTTTATGTGTGTGCTATGCCACCTACAACTAAAGGAAAGAGGGTTTTCTTGTTGTGCTAAAAAATTAGGAATATGTTAAAAGATGTGAGACCTGGATAGATACAGTGATTGTCTACAACGTAACCATGAACAGTAGACCAGAGTGTGGAGATTCTGCTAGTGTAGCTGAGTAGATTCCTGGTAACCATGGAGCCTGGAGTTGATCCCCAGCACCGCAAAAGAAAATAAAAATCAATCTCTCTCAATTTTTCTCCTTTTGTCTTTTCCTCCTCTCTGTAATTTTTAGTTAGAAGGAACATTCCTTGGTGTGTTTATTAAAAAAGAAGATATGAGCTGGAGAGATGGCTCAGCGGTTAAGAGCACTGTCTGCTCTTCCGAAGGTCCTGAGTTCAATTCCCAGCAACCACATGGTGGCTCACAACCATTTGTGATGAGGTCTGGTGCCCTCTTCTGGCCTGCAGACATCCACAGAGACAGACTATTGTATACATAATAAATAAATAAATAGATAGATAGATAGATAGATAGATAGATAGATAGATAGATAGATAGATATTTTTTAAAAGAATAAAAAGAAGATAAAAGCAGCACACACAGCACGACCCAACTCTCTAGAAAAGCTGTTGTTTCTTCTGTTTCATTTGGGTCTCCAGTATTTCTTGTGATTGTATGGTGACAATTCAGGTAATTTTTAATAATTGGAATATATTTCTCCTGTTCCATCTGTAGGGAGACTCCATGGAGTTGGAAATTTGGTGTCTTGAAATGAATGAAAAGTAAGTGTCGCTGTGTCGGACTCCGTGGTGTGGCACTGGGGTAGGCAGTGACCACAGATGAAAGCAGACTTCGCTCTTGGCATTCCTCTGGTCAGCAGAGCCAGCAGGCTTTGCTGTGACTTGCTTCATGCTTGGCTTCCAGCCTAGGCACAGAGGTGACCTTCAGAGGGAGTGAGGTTCCAGAGCATCGTCACAATGGAAGGAACAGCAGCAAGGCTGCAGAGGATTTGCTTTCCCAGTACAGCTTGTTCTCTGAGTCCCCTGTGATCTCCTTCCCCATGGTATTGTTGGGGCAGCTCTCCAGTGAGATCTCCTGCACTGCTCTTTCCACACTGATGGGATGGAATGCCACCTCCTTCCCCTGGTTCTGTCTCACCACCTGCCTGAAGCTTGACTTTGCTTTTCCTTAAGTAGAAAGCAGTTGACAGACTATCCAAACTTTTTGTAACAAATAGGTTTTTTTTCTTCAGTTTTCTTTTTTTCCCCCTCAGGTGTTCTATATAGAATTAAATTGTTCCTAAGACAGAACCTTGAAAATAAGCAGCAGGCTGAGTATAATTTGCAATATTGTTAAGTTGTTTTTTTGGTTTTTCGAGACAGGGTTTCTCTGTGGTTTTGGAGCCTGTCCTGGAACTAGCTCTTGTAGACCAGGCTGGTCTCGAACTCACATAGATCCGCCTGCCTCTGCCTCCCGAGTGCTGGGATTAAAGGCGTGTGCCACCACCGCCCGGCTTCCAAATTCATTTTATAAGGCCATTAGGACCTTGATGCCAAAGCCAATCCTATAGTGAGAAAACTATCCAGTGATGAGGGGGTACCAGAAACCAGAGGCCTTGACCCAGACCAGAGACTCACGGCAATGAGTATTTGCTAGTAAAGCCGAAAGGACGAAAGGGTGTGCTAGTGACACACCAATGCCACCAGGACGAATGAAGAGGTTGAAAAGACGGGAAAGAAGGCAAAGAGTCTTTTCTCCTTATGCTTTGTTCTGTTCATGCTTTTGTTTGTTTGCTTGCTTGCTCTGCTGTGTTTTCTTTTGGGGGTGCTGCTGCAAGGGTGAGGGGAGGATGAAGGGGGACCGAGGAGATGAGCAGAATTGGAGTGTATGATGTCAAACTCCCCAAGAATGAATAAAAAAGTTAACTTTTTAAAAAAGAAAACTACAGACCAATATTCCTCATAACTATGCAAAAATCTTCAATACAATACAAATAAACTGAATTCAACAGCACACTGATTGGATTATACATCATAATCAAGCTGGATTTAATCCTGGAGTGCAAAGCGGTGCACACCCTGGCATGCTTTTCCACACGCCTCCCCCTCAACACAATGACACACAGAGAGAACCCTAACATTTACCCCCCAAACCCACAACCTGTCAGAATTCATCATCAAGACTAGTAAAGTTGAGTGCTGCAAAATCAACACTAAGGCAGCAGCTACTTCACACGTTAACAATGAAAACTTAGGAAGAAAATTGTGGGACTCATTTTAAATAGCATGAAAAGAAACAAAGAATAAGTGTGATTAAGGAGGTGAAAGGCTTGTGCTGAAAATTGAAAACATTGCTAAGGCAAGTTATAGACCTATAAGTGGATGATTAGAGGATTCAATATAGTTATGACGTTTATGGGACCATACTAGTTGAAGAAACTTCTTTATTCTATGTGATTCCTATCAAAAATTCTAATGGATAGTTCTTTAGAAATTAAAAAGAGAACCCTAAAGTTTATATAGAATGTTGAGGGACAGTGAAGAACCACATACTAGTGATCTTAATGCATGTGCAATTTGACATTTTGTTCTTTTTATGAACTCTACTAAAATATTAACTCTATACAAATGGCCCAGAGACAAGGCCAGATAACTTCTCTTAATTGGTATATGAAATGAAACATTCCCTTTCAAGGGTATAATACTTTCTTATTGAGAATTAGCTTGATGTCCTTCTGGTCATACTTCTGGTAAATAATTTTATTCATATGCTTTGGACTCACGGTACTCCTGCTGACAGAAGTATGGTCAGGGTTCAGTGACTTTTATAAGAACTTTGGGAGTGGACTAGGGAGATGACCCTGTTAGAAAATGCTAGATGGCAAGCCTGAGAAACTAATTGGATCCTGTGCACCCATGTAAGGAACTGGGCATCTGTAATCATAGTAATGAGAAAGTGGACACAGGAGGCTCTCTGAAGCTCACCGGCTAGTCAGCTTAGTCAAACTGCTGCGCTCCAATCACAGCAAGAGATCTTGTGGATGGCCTGCCAGCCTAGCCACACCATTGAGTTCCAGACACACTGAGAGATCCTGTCAAAGGCAAACCAGTGTAGCCAAACTATTGTGCTCTAGGCACAGGGAGAAATCCTGTCTCAACAATAAGATGGAGAATGATTGAAGGAAACATTCAATGTCAATCTCTGACCTCCACATGCACGTGTGCACACAGCTGCACAACCACACACACTTACACATACAAACATGCAACACAGAAATACACAGAATACTGAGAGACAGAAAGAGAAGAAAGGGGAAAGAGATCTATATAATAAGGCTGAGAAAATATTCTCTTTTTTTTAATATTTATTTATTATGTATACAATGTTCTGTCTGTGTGTGTGCCTGCAGGCCAGAAGGGGGCACCAGACCTCATTACAGATGGTTGTGAGCCACCATGTGGTTGCTGGGAATTGAACTCAGGACCTTTGGAAGAGCAGGCAATGCTCTTAACCGCTGAGCCATCTCTCCAGCCCCCTGA